AGCGGCTGGATGTTGTAAGTGTTGATAAACTCCTGGCGACTCAGGTTGTACAGCTGGAGCATCTCCTGCAACACTTCTGGAGTTATCTTGGTGGAGCCTTGCCCGGAATCTGTTGAAGATGCGGCCATTCTTAGTCTTCATCAACCCCGAGAACAACTTGCTTCAAGGCAGGACAAAAAACACTGATGGTGCACAGCCGAAAGCTTTTCAATAACCCACAAATGCGTCCGGAAGCTGCCTCCTTCATCCTGTAGCTCCACATGCTGCTGTGGCTCTGTGAAGTGTGTGTGTGTGTGTGTGTGTGTGTGTGTGTGTGTGTGTGTGTGTGTGTGTGTGTGAATATATTATCCTTTATGGTCGGTAATGATATGATTACTTTTAGCGTTGAATCTTTTTATGGTACACAAACGGGAAATGCATTATGCAAATCATTAAAATGGTATTTCACTGTTTACTATAAATGCAATTAAAAAAAAAAAGAGGCTGTATTGGCTTGAACAAGGCACATTGTGGGCGAGTCTTTCAATGTATACAACAAGACATGTTATAACCATGTAAACAACATCCTGTGTAATAAAAAAAGAAACCATTACACTTTACAAACACCTTTATTGCAGAGCTATAATAAATCCAAATGACAAACGAGGTGTAGACATGGGGCAATTGTTATGCTTTATAGTCCAATTAGTTCACTTTTCAGCTGGAAATAGCACAGTATTTCTCTTACAAATGAACAATGAAACACACACTTAAAATGATGTGTGTTTCCAATGTGGGACACAGTCACATGACCATCTGTGGGTCCCAGCTTAAAATATAGTGAGTCTGCAGATAAAATTTAATTATTTGACTTCTTTGTTGTCATAGATTTATTCATTTAATCTCTAATTAAGGGGCCATATCCTAATTTCCCTAGGGGAAAAAATGAGCTTTGCACTAATTAGGTTTCAAAGAGAGACAGGATTCAATTGTTATATATTTCGACTTCATTAAGTGTTATTATACAAGCGGATGCAACCAGTCTTTTGTCAGGGGTTCAGGACAGTTGGACATGTAGTAGTGACATGCATAATTAAATATTCATTATTTGCAACCATTTTCTTTGTATGTACAAAGAAAATGGTTGCATATAATGAATATTTAATTTGGTTTACATTTGATTTTATTTCAAGGAAATTCCTCTAGAAATTAACCACCAAATCCAATATCTTTCTAAAAGACTTGTCCTGTAATAAGAACCAAATGATAAATGTCCTCCCAGAAAGTTTTTAAGAAATTATTCAGAAATAGAAAACAGGAATCAAGAAACACGTACAAGTAAAGTAAACAAATAAATGTAGAGCACAATTTACCAATGATGAAAAAAAGAACAATATTACAGTGGAATAATTTAAAATGCACTAGAAAATCCCCAAATGTGCCGTTTAAAACCCCTACAACCAAAAATATCTTTAATGATCAAATGTTTTTCTTTAACAAAATGTCACAATGCAGCACCCGAGTTAATGCTCTCAGCATATTTTGTTTGATGTCCAAAGCTTTTACATATTGTACAATATGTTTCAATACAGTTATAGGTTACAGTAGAGCATTATTTCTACAGTGCACTTTCCAGTGACACCACGTTATTTGCATTTTTTTTATCTAGATGCACATTAATGTAACTCAACCCACCATTTCCTTTCTTAAAAACGTAGTGTTAACATTCATGTAAATGTGCTACCAATCTGTGTTGTGATTTTGTTGTGCATGGCTGACAGCCAATAACAGGCAAGGTTAAAGTTAAAAAATAAAGCCACGCCTCCAATGGGAGTGCTCGTTAAATGAAGTAGTGCTGTTTCGGATGTTTTGTTATTTCTCCGCAACACTTATTGATTTATTTGGATGCTAATAGCAAGGAACGTTGAGCTTACTCTGCTAACACTAAAATGGAGCAATGTGATGGTATTTTTATGCTGCCTCTGATTTCAATCTATGCTGTATAAACATATTGTGTGAGGTCCTCAAGGCGTTGTTACATGGTGGGAACTGCTCCATCCTCTGCTCCACCCACCCATGAATCTGGCTCTGTACGATCAATCTGCATAAAAGCCTCTTCTATCATTCATCCCCACCCCCAACTGCTGAGTTTCCTGCCCCTGTTTCGTCACCTTCCCACCTTAATACTCCTCATTTCGCCTCAGCGTACATGTCAATTACAGATATCAGATTGTCGACACAGTGTGCCAAACTTTATAACCACCCATGACAGATTGTGTGTCCTCATGGGAAAATGTCGACCTGGAGACAGCTACTGCAGCAGGTTCTACCATTTTGAAAACGTTTCCAGGTTCATATTTTTTTTGTTTAATCAAGATCAAAATGAAGGCTCAGTTTAAAGATGGGTGTGGACGAACAAGGGCACCAAAATTAGGGGGGGAAAAAAAGATTACTCTTTGATAGAAAGTAAAGCTTTCAAATTAGCCTTAAAGTACCTGCAACCCAAAAGGCTCATAATCTGTTGTCAGATTACACTCATTTTAAACAACACGGTCTAATGTGAAGACGTATTCTTAACTATGGCATAATAAATTGGATTGAATTGTGAAAGGAGAAAATCAATGGTGTTAAGTGCTTACAGTTTTTTGCCAATGTTAGTCTTTTGAAAGACCCCTTTAGACTGAAAGGCTCGGTGGCTTCATTCATGTTCATAGAGAATAATACCTTTGTGATCCCTGGCTTTTCCTATTGCTGTCAATCTTGCAGTTTCCTAAACTTGACAGCAATTTAGTTAAAAGTAAGAAACACATAACATTTTGCAGATGTGGCTTTAGAGAACTGGGTAAAAGAAAAATGGTTCACAGAGACTGATGAGCCCAAAATCATTCAACCTGTATTGTGTTTTATTTAGACAGAACTGCAGGGAAATCACAAATGTTCTCTTGCTACAAGAGAAAACTGATGAGCTCATTCAGCTGTTTTGTGTTCTGACTAATTGTCAGGTTCTTCACTCTGATTTGAAACACTATGTATTGTGTGCATTTGTCCTCTATGGGTAAATGCTATAGATACATTTTAGTGGTATTTGGGCTATGTGGTCAAAATCTACCAATCCAATTTTCGGTGTCTGTGTGTATTTAGCTCTAGGTGAAAAGTTATCGGGGCACCAATTATCACAATTCCTCCTGAGGGAAATATGAATGCCTGTGGCCAATTTCATAGCAATCCATCCAATAGTTGAAGAGCCCAGGACCAAACTGATGTAACAGCATGTCTAAAAAATAAAAACAACAGAGTAGTAAACAGTCCCAAAGGCGATAAAACGTTGGTATTGATCAGTGACAGAGTATGCAGCAAAACAGCTGGAATACACAGGGTCAACTTTATATTACTTTGGGGAAGACCCCGGGTATCAGACTTTTTTTTTAATCAAAACGATGCAAGGTTGAGTCAGAACCATGCACCATTATGTTTACCATGATTGCTTTAAGACAAAGCTTGCTTTAGTAAAACTATCATTTATTATTTACACATATCACAGCCTCCAACTGTTATTATTGTTTGCCCTGTAAAATCATATCTCATAACTCAAAAGAGCAGATTCAGATTACTTATGACTACTAATGTTCACAAATAACCAACACAGTATTTATTAAATTGTAAGCCTTTGCGTTTAGGGCACCATCGGGCCCACAGCGTCTCAGATTATAATTTCATTTTTTATTCAAGTCTTAGACACAAATATTTTTGATAATGTTTGAATACCGAAAGTTGCCCAATAGTGCAATTAAAGTCCAACATTTTCTTGACAACAAACTCACATTGGTTGCTTGGTAACTGCTGTAACAACAAGACCATGAGAGGCACTTTTCACTTGGCATAAACTGTCATTTTATATTCATTTTTATTGTTTTTATGCAAGGAAAAACAATCAGCAGTCTTGATGTTTTCCTAATGTGTAGTCAAACCCAGAAGCATAAATAACATTTTACATATTTCAATGTTAAGATCTGCTGCTATCACCAGCAGCAAATTGTTCTCAGAACTCCTGTCAACATTATCTCCCAGCAGATGTGGAGGAGTTCTTGCTCCATGTGTCTGGTATGATTCAAACATTGTTGCTGTCTGGCATTTATCAACTCCCCTTTAGCCAAGTGATTAATTGTTTTGGATAGGCCGTATCAATTCTTCTCAACAGTCAGTCCAACATGTGGTTTGAAAAAAACAAAATCATTGTTCGTTTTCACTCTTAGTTAAGCCCCTTACTTTTCAGATCCTATTTACTCGGAAAAATGCATGCAGACATTCTCCTGGGGAAAAAAATAATGAACTCCAACTGCTTTGGATCATACAGTAAATTGATAGAAAATAATCATACATATTGCAATACAGTACAGTATGCAGCTTACCTCATAAAAAGTAAAGAATCAACATTTTACAATTATCTACTGAGTAACAGGGAGGCGTGTGGCGCAGTGGATCAATGCGCTGATCTTCGAATCAGAGGATAGCAAGTTCGATTCCCACTGCAGTCAGCATGTCGTTGTGTCCCTGGGCAAGACACTTCACCTCCTGTGGGGATTGCCCACAGTATTGAGTATGTAAGTCGCTTTGGATAAAAGCGTCTAACAAGTAACATGTAATGTAACTGAGAACTATGAATGACACAAGCGAGACGCAGCATTATCATTAGTGGAATTAATCATTAGGTTCATCAAAGTAAATTCACACTCATAAGCCACAATATTTGCAGCACAAAATGGGTTAATTTGTATATACAGTCTATGGTTAATTTACACATACAGCATTGTGAGGTGTTAGGTGACTCAATCAGGAAGTTCACATTGACAGCTAAAGTAGGCTTTAATCAAATAATGTTTATTTAATTAACTATCACATAATAGCTTATTTCTGCTGCTTTGCATTTGAAAATCCAGTTTAAATGAACTGGAATGCCTGTTTCCCATTGTGCCATTGTCTTTTGTTTAGGGTTTCTTAGCAACAAAAGCAACACAGTTCATGAAACACCAAAGGTTTCGAGCTGCAGGATGTTTTCTGAGGTAAAGTGATTATTCAAATGTATTTTCTTCTAAAAATAGAATTACTTCAACCTGGTAGAACACAAAAACCAAAATGTCTTGGTCTAATTCTAAATGCAAAATTGTCTTTGGAGCAAATTAAATGTAAGTGTCTAGTTAGGTTTTAGTTTTCAGCACTAAAGACAGATTTAGACAAAACTTCCAGCTGACCGTTCAAGATATGTCGATGGCACAGAGAACAGACTCCTGTGGGACGACCGGAGAAAGGAGTCAAACAAATCAGGTGTCATTTACTCCTGAATTCACCAAGATGCTGACAAAAAGCAGTCCGCACTTTGGTGCTTTGAGTCATCACTCATTCTTCTCCCGGCACAACCCTCATCCACACAGGGTCAGACATATTCAAGGTGAGAGTGTGCCTTATTATTTCTCTCTTCTTACAGCAATTTATTTGGAGGTTGAATCATGCTTTGCCATATGCTCCCCTCTTAGAGACAATGGATGAGTTTTCTCATTTGTGCAGAACGGACATCAGTTGGTGTTTTGAAAATGAATTGTTATTTGCCTGAGAAACCTGAATAAAGTCAGCAGATCGCTCCTGTTCCAATCTAGGTTAATCAAATTGGATAAAGGAAAGACAATTTACAATGTATAGGAACTGTGTTTATGTGCACATTATCATAATGCACAATTCAATTCAGCAATTATGTAGCATATTATGGTATTCTCCTGACACCTATTAGTAATCTGCTCGAATGAAGAGTCGTTTGTTATTAAAGCTGCTTACTTTAGCATTTTTAGCAGTTGACATTTGCTTATAAGCACTAAACACAAAGCTAGGCTAAGTAGACTTTATGACAAATGTAATATTTGACCTGATGGTGATGCATAATGAAAGTTCACAAATATTACTCTAACAACCAGAAATGTCGACCTGCTGGTGGCATAAAGGAACAAAGTCAGTAGGATTAATCATCTGGTTACTATGGATTTCCGAACTGAATTTCAAGCCAGTCTATTCAATGAATTTTCAAATGTTTTACAAAAAAAAACCTAAAAAAGGAATTTATATAAGAGTGTAACAAAGTAATTAGAACTGATTTACCTGGAACTTTGAATGTAGATGTAGACATCGAGGCTCCATACTCTGATAAACCCACTGAACACACAGATAGACCAGCTGCTGAGACATACAATATGTCATCCCCTTTAAAAAGGGTATACAAAGGTGTTAAAGGTGATACATATATGTGTTGTTAATCCGTGTATCTACCGTCCAGTTGTTTTTCTTAAACACGTAAACGGAAGAGCGTTTGAGAGGCCTTTTTGCTTTTTACCTTACTAAATGGTCTAATGGTCATTGGAGCGAGGGGCGGGGCCAAACTCACGGAAGTGATTTCAAAACAAAGCGGTGATAATATTATAAACAAAGGGAAACAAGGTGAATTTAGCGATCACAACGAAAACGGCCAAGACACATATTGAGCCCAGAAAATGGATGTTATTAAGGGCTGTAAATATAATAAGCCTCTGTCTAAAATGGACAACGTTGTTAGGAGATTTAAACTATAGGCTACAGCGATTCTGCACTGCGGTTAACTCCGCCGCCTCTCGAGTTTTTTCAAATCAGCTGCTCTTCATTCCTGCTATATTTGACGAGTGATGCAAATATGTTTTACCACATGTTCTTAAGGAAACTGACACTGTTGGACTCGGTTCTAGTTTGACTTCTACCAGAAATAAAATGAATTACTTTTGCTGTGTACTTTGTGAGTAATCCTCTGTCAGAGTCCCCTCCTTAGTAGGCTACATAATGCATGTTTTTCTGCTATCTTTGATGAATGATAACAATATAATGTTACCATTAGTTCTTAATGAAATGTATACTGTTTGACTTTGTATTAGTTAGCCTACTACTAACAATACATTGAAGTACTTTTACTATGTATTGTTTGAGGAATACTCTGTCAAAGTCCCCTGCTGAGAACAACATCTAGCCACTTCTGCTAAGTTTGATGAGGGAATTATTTTTTGTTTCCATTAGTTATTCGTGAGATTGATCCTGTTGGACTCAGTACTAGTGAAACTACCCCCAGAAGTACTATGAAGTACTTACTGTGTACTTTTCCAACAATCCTCTGTCAATGTCCCCTCCTGAGAACAAGAATGCATGTTTCTCTGCTATTTTGAATAAGCGTTAAAAAAAACCTTTCTTCATGAGACTGATATTGTTGGACAGAGTATTTTAAGAGGATATGCTGGACATATTATCAGCAATACTTCCAGTCAGTACTCTGGCAGCAGCATTTTTACACATTGGAAAGTCTTTAGAGACTGGCCTTCAGCAAAGTGACACACCCTGACTCTTGTTGGCTTCTTATGACAATGCTGTCTTTTAAGGACTATTTCTCTACTCCTAGTTCATTCCTCGCAGATTCTTCCATCAGTCGTGGAACGTATTTTATTTCCTTCTCCATGTTATACTTATACTTACTTGTAATAGAACATTTGCATGTTGAACTGCTGGATATCTTCCCCAGCCACAAGGAAACACAATAAATGGATTCATAATTTTAAAAAAATAATAAAAATGTGCCAACATTTTGAATTTAAATATAAAATGAAAAGAAAGTTTACTCTGAAATGATTTCTCACGAAAACTTTTCAAAATTATAGTAGCCTAAATTGCAAAAAAAGTTGTAGTCAATATACGTTTTTCTGCCTAAAGTAGTTGAAATTCAACATAAACTATATCAAACACCACATGCATGGCAATTAACCCATTTTGCCCACTATTTAAATTGACTTTGGTTGAAGTTAACAATATTTATATTATATAGATATATAGATGTATAGCATATCATTGATGCAGTCTTTCTGAACACTTTTAAAATAAAATACTGCAAATGAAGAATATTTGTAATGTTCTGCACAGATAGTGCCTTAACTTGAATTTGAAAACACGTGGCAACTTTATTAATACAGCAGATGAAAATATTTTTGAAAGGATACATTATTCATGGGCTTCAATAGCTCTCAAGTAAAGGGTGTTTTATGGTTGCTTGTGTTATCCTCAGATAGTGGTTTGTTTAAATAACTAATGACATTTTATAAATATTGCAAAAAAGGGCTCCAAAAAAGGCATATATATAACCTGGCCGGCTTAGCCAGTGTGTATTTTTTCAAGCACCACAAGATTCAGAGTTTATAAAGTACAATTCTGGGCCATTGATTGTGTCATTTCTCCAAACACATACAGTAAAAATGCCTGTTTTGAAGCCTTAAAATGATGCAGGAAAAGGACTTTACATTGGGTTATACTTATAGACAGGACTATTTAGTTAAGAGAAGAGAAAAAAGGAAAGCAAATTGTTATAATGGGTGATGTAACATTAATGACATACATAATATGAGGTCCTTGGCACTCAGACTCTAGAGGGGTCATTGTGTGATCATGGGGCATCACCATGGGGCATCACCCTTACAGCATCAGGACAATATCATATGGAGTCAGACACTGGAAGTGTGCTGGAGGCTGATGCGTTGACTGGGACTGATGGAAGGATGAGACTGAAGAATCTGCGAGGTACGAACTAGCGGCGGCGGAATAATCATATATTAAAAGACAGCAGCATCATAAGAAGGCAACAAGAGTGACAGAGTGTGTCAGTGTGCCGTCTACCATATTCTTAAAATACTCTGTCCAACAATATCAGGCTCATGAAGAAAGGTTTTTTAACGCTTATTCAAAATAGCAGAGAAACATGCATTCTTGTACTCAGGAGGGGACATTGACAGAGGATTGTTGGAAAAGTACACAGTAAGTACTTCATAGTAGCTACTTGTGGGGGTAGTTTCACTAGTACAATCTCACGAAGAACTAATGGCAACAAAAAAGAATTCCCTCATCAAACTTAGCAGAAGTGGCTTGATTTTGTTCTCAGCAGGGGACTTTGACGGAGTATTTCTCAAAAAATACACAGTAAAAGTACTTCAATGTATTGTAAGTAGTAGGCTAACTAATACAAAGTCAAACAGTATCAATTTCATTAAGAACTAATGGCAAAATTATATTTTTATCATTCATCAAAGATAGCAGAAAAACATGCATTATAGGCTACTATGGAGGGTACTTTGACAGAGGATTACTCACAAAGTAGCCTACACAGTAAAAGTACTTCCTTTTATTTCTGGTAGAAGTCAAACTAGAACCGAGTCCAACAGTGTCAGTTTCCTTAAGAACTTGTGTTAACAAATATTTGTATCACTCGTCAAATATAGCAGAAAAAATGAAGAGCAGCTGATTTGAAAAAACAAACGCGAGAGGCGGCTGAGTGACCGCAGTGCAGAACCGCTGTATAGTTTAAATCTCCTAACAATGTTGTCAATTTTAGACATAGGCTTATTATATTTACAGCCCTTAATAAAATCAATTTTCTGGGCTCAATATCTGTCTTGGACGTTTTCGTTGTGATCGCTAATTTCCCCGTGTTTATAATAATCACCGGTCCTTCAGCAGGATACTGTAGCGATTCAAAGTGTGATTTTAGCAAACGAGTGCTTTTGTTTTGAAAGCACTTCCGTGAGTTTCGCCCCGCCCCTCGCTCCAATGACCATTTGACCAGTTGGTAAGGCAAAAAGGCCTCTCAGACGCTCTTCCGTTTACGTGTTTAATAAAGAAAAACAATTGGACGGTAGATACACGGATTTATAATACAGCATGTCTCCCTTCTCTTATAATCATAAACACTTTAACATATGTCAAACACTCTTTACCAGGGACACGCAGAGATTCAAAGTTAAGCTACCGCTAAAGAGTAACGTTCCACTTCCGGTTGACGGAAAGCGGCAGCCGATGCTCTTATTGTGAAACGCTACGTTTCACAATACTACTTTCGGTAGCCGAGTAGCGGAGCAATACATTAACTGTAAACACATAATATCTCACCTTTAACGCCACATAAACATGTATCCACATAAACTACATCCTATTACATTAATAATGGACCTGTGCCACTCAACACGGTGTATATACCCCTAACTTTGAGACAGGAGTGCCGACTCACTTGCACTCACATGCACGCAGCATGCACAGATCACATGAGCACGGAGACTGCATTAAGCCACATCGGCACAGAAGTTATCACAATAATAAAGTGTAGAACAACATAACAGGCAGCACTGTGCACGTTCATTTAAGCACACAATACGACATTTAAGACGGCATAACTTTCCTGCAACTAGGCCTACTGACGCACGTTACCCTCTGATGTGTGACGTCACCCAAAACACGTGGGTTAGCCCCTCCCCACTATGAAGGCACAACTTAACAGGTATCAACTCTGTATAATAAAATTATATATATATCAATAACTATAACTTTGGGGCCTTTTCTACACCCTGAGGTCCTTATGTAGTCAAAACTCTCAGCAGGGAGTTGCCTTTGACAGTCTCACACTTTTGAAGCACTTTACGTTATGTGTGTGAACTGTGAATATTGTGCCTCTCTCTTTCCCACAGGACTCAATGGTAGACCTGTTTGCATGGTGAGAGATGATTGGTTTGTCACCTCATCATTATTTCCTCATCCACTTCTCAAAAGCCACGTCTTCAAGAAAGCCACTGGTCCATCACTTGATTTTCCACTCGCACACAACCTTAATGTAGTCAGTAGTAACAAAATCAAATCAGGTATTTCACTCACACACGCCGCCTACATTTTCTCATTACTTTTTAAAAAGCTGGGCGGTGGTGGCAAAGTCGATAGAGACTTGGAACTGCAACTGGAAGGTCACCAGTTCAAGTCCCGGCAAGACCAAGTGCTACCGAGGTGTCCCTGAGCAAGGCACCGTTCCTATACACTGCTCCCCGGGCACCGTTAAAAAATGGCAACACACTGCTCCTAACACTAGGATGGGTCAAATGCAGAGAAACAATTTCCCCACGGGGGGATTAATAAAGTATATCAAAATCAAAGCTCTGCCTTCAAATATTACAATTTAGCTCCAATAATTTCCCTCTTTTTTTCACAGCACAATTTTCAGAGGCCTGGAGGGATGAACTTAAAGACCTTGCTGCAAAAGTCAGCTTGTCTTCCGAAGCGGGAAAAGACAAAAAACCGGTATGTGTATTGCTGTTATTGTTGTAATCTGGCACCTCAACACTTTTGAACACACTGCATGATTTCATCTTATTCAGAAAATTATGATTTGTTTGCCATTTCAAGCAATGCCATATTATAATTGGTCAAGCATTGGTATTTGATGTTTCCGGTGAAGAGCAGGATGATTTTGAGGATGTATTGCAGGAGGAAGAATTTGTCCGCCGAAAGACCCAATATTCAGCTGAAACCGGGAGAATTGTCCCTCCATCCACTAACTCTTACCAACGCAGAACCCATTCCCAGCGCATGATGTATCCTCAGCCTCTCCATGATCAAGAACTCATGGTGAAATACTCCCTTGATGTTCTTCCTGTCAAAAGTGTCATTAGGGGTAGTTTGGGGATAAAATGGGGCATAGCAATGTAATAATACTTTCCTCTGGGAGAAGTAGGGTTAGCCACAGATCAAAAGGAGGTATCCAAAACCATAGATAATAGTTATAGCACATAGCCTTAGGCCAAGGTTGTTAGAAAATAGCTCCGAACACAGGCTTGTCACCTGGCTTGTGAAAAAATCACTAGTAATCACTTGAATATAAAATGATACTGCTCTGTTTCAGGTGTTTGAGCTGCTCTGTCAGATCCTGCAGACAGACTCCCTGTCCACGGTCCAGCAGTGGCTTCTGCTTGCAGGACAAAGAGGTACAAATGCTTAGTATAGTCTGTACACTACAAGTAAATTGATCATATTTTACATATATTTTTTTAAAAGGTCAAATTAGCAGATTAGTAGATAAGGGCATAGTGTGTAATGACGCACTCAGTTAATTAAGTTGTGGATCTACATGTGAATGTAATCTTAAAAAAGTTTATGTTTGTGATAGGGCCGGGACTCGATTAAAAAAATTAATCTAATTAATTAGAGGCTTTGTAATTAATTAATCGAAATTAATCGCATTTTTAATCACATATAAATATTTGACCTGAGAACAGTGAGAAGCAATTTTTTTCACATGGATTTTAGTATACCATTAGGCGCATTCACACCGCAGTACTTTTCCCACAAAGGTTCATGAGAATTTAGTTCATGAGAACTCTTTGAACCTGGGGATTAGGCAAATGAAGTCGCTGACGTCACTTCTTCTTCTTCTGCATTGGGTTTACTGGCAGGCAGCAAACCACTTCACGTCGTATACTGCCGCCCAAAGTCCCCGGAGTTGGGGACTGGCTTCAGTAGAAGCTGCTGGGAGTCCCAGCAGCCTTCCGAGTAAATCGCCAAAACGCCGACACCTCCTCATCTCCACCGCTCCCATGTTTTATTTTGTGTTGCCATAAGTTAGTCTCTCTGCGTTTCTGCGCTGGGCTAATGCTAATAATGCTAATGCGAGGATAATAAAATTCACAAAACTTTTTGGGAGTTTTACGGGGCGTGGTTTGCAATCCGCCCAGCCAATCAGAAATATAGCTCTTTTCTCACAAGAGAGCCGTGCGAAAGTCCCTGCTCTCTAGCAGCTCTCTGCTCTCTAGCAGGGACTTTCGTGGGGGTAAAAAGGTTCTCATGAATTAATTTTAGTACCGGCTCTTTTTGGTGTGAACGCGATAAAAGAGGCTAACGTCCACGCTAGCTTCCACGCTATTGATTGATTGATTGAAAAGTTTATTAACAGCTTGTATATTGGGTACAGTACAGTACAACTCAAAACATACAATTGTTAAGGGGATGCAGACCAGAGAAAGACTTTCGTCTTGTTTACATCAAGCTAGCTGCTATATGTTTTGCATTGAGGTGGTACTTGAGGCTTGATGTGCTGCGGTGATATGCGAATTCCTTTTTGCATAATTTGCACACAACCGTGCTCTTATCGACGCTTCCATCCGTCCGTTTTTTAAAACAACATATCCCACTGTTGTTCACTGTGGTTTGTTGTTGTCTGAAGTCATGAACGTTAGTTGGTGCTCCAGTATAATCGGTACGCCTGAAACTCATCCAGTGAGAAACGTTCCGCGGTGCAAAAATAAGTGCGATTAAAATGCGTTAATTTTTTTTAACGCGTTAATTTTTGTGTAATTAATTAATCTTAATTAACGCGTTAAAGTCCCGGCCCTAGTTTGTGAAGATAATCTTTGTCTTTTCCAATTATTACTGTATTTTAACTTAAAGGGGACCTATTATGCAAAATGCTTTTTTTTAATGTCTTTTATACATAAATATGTGTCCCCGGTGTGTAAGGAGACTCACAAAGTTTCAGAAAATACAACCCTCTCTCTTTTCCTGCTTACCCATATAGTTCAAGCTGAATCCCCTCTCGCAGCTGTGTGTCTGTGTATTCAGTAGGATGTTTGTTTGTAGCCTTTATTTAACCAGGTGAAGCCCCTTGAGATCAAAAGATCTCTTATTCAAGGGTGACCTGCAGGATATTAGTTACACATGTAACATAAAAACAACAGAACAACAATAAGGATGACATACAACATAATGTACAGGGTACAGTTTACAAACTCTATTTACAGTGACAGGTACCATGAGTATCAAACAGCATGTCACCCAGCCGAGTTTTAAAATGATGCAGGGGAACCAAAGTGCTCAGTTTTAAACATGTTTGCAGACTGTTCCAATTTAGTGGAGCTGCACAACTAAAAGCTTTCTTCCCTAAGACAGTCCTAGCACTTGGCACATTTAATAAAACAACATCATGAGATCTCAGGCAATACGTACTTTCAATTCGTCGAGAGATCAGAGAGCAGAGAGATATAAAAAGGTAGTTTACCCAACATGGCTTTATAGATGAACATGTACCAATGACTGAGCCTCCGTACAGTTAGTGAAGGCAGACCTGCCTTGGCATACAGGGTACAGTGATGAGTAAGTGCTTTACAGTTAGTAACAAATCTCAGGGCACTGTGATAGGCGGCATCTAACTTGTTCAGGCAATGGGCAGGTGCATTCATATAGATCAAATCACCATAGCACAGGTAAAAAGGTCACAGTGACTAGCCTTTTCCTGGCTTCAAAAGAGAAACAGGACTTGTTTCTGAAAAAGAAACCTAGTCTAACCCTCAGCTTTTTAAGCAGATGAATTACCTGAAGTTTAAAAGTAAGACAATCATCAAGCCAGATACCTAGGTATTTGTAACAGGTAACCACTTCAAGTACTTGTCCTTGCATAGTAACAATATCCAAAACAGGCTCTGGTGTCTTTTTAGCTTTTGAAAATTCTGAATGTCTGCAGGAGGCACTTGTTATAGTACATATAATGGCACTGTTCTAGCGGTAAACACTTAAGAAAGAATGTCGAACTATGTGCTGTACAGGGTCGGCGTCATGGGGGGTCATTTGCGGGCCATGCCTCCCCCAAATGAATCACTGTGCCCCCCCAACGCAGGGTGGGCAAGCCTTGCCACTTTGCAGGTTTTTTTTTTTTTAAATCATATAAGTGAAAACGTTTCCCTTAAAGGTTTTTTGTGTGAAATACATCAGAAATAAAGAATACAAATATAAAACACAGCCTGAGGTGTGCTCACTGCTGCTCTCTGATTGGTGTGTGTTGCTTGACCAATGACCCCCGACCTTTGTTTTGTTATCATTACGTGGCTGTGTGTTTAGATGAAAGCCCAGTGGCGATCTGTTAAACTGATTATACAGTAAAGCCATCGAAAATAATACAATATACAGTACAGTACTACAAGTAGCCTACTTCTGGGTCTCTGTGTTTCATTCAAGCTCGGTTCTGTGTGTGTGTGGCACGAGCACATTTTGTGAGTGCGCGAGCGGTAATGTGGAATATTGTTGTTAGCATCTGGTTAGCTAGCTATGCTAACGGATATAAAGAGCTGTTTCTACACCAAGGTGGAGGAGAGTCCTCTCCTGTCAGACTGAGAGGATCTTATAACGTCAGCTCAGTGAGGTAAGGACTCTCTCAGTGTTTAGATAGTTCACTTCAGTGTAGGTTATCTCAGTGGGTCTCAAACGGTTTGGTCACCATTTATGTAAACAAGTATTTGCGAGGAACACCTTTTATATGATCATTATAGTTATTAAAAAATAAGAGAATAAATGAAAAACAGGTATGAAATACTATAGGACAGTAACACAAGAATACAGTTGAAAAGGGGAGTGATTAGTAAAAATATCCATACAGAAAAAGTAAATCTGTGTACAGTTCTGTTTCATATGGATGCTGAGAGATAGGCTATCCATAGATCTCTTCATGTTGCTCTCAAAGTGCACCAGATTGATGCTTTTAACTTCAATATTTAAAAAATAATCTTCCCGGAGGAGCATGCCCCCAGACCCTCCTAGAGGAGGTTAGGTCCACCCCCACCTAAAACATGTTCACATGGATAGGATACTAAATACATTTGCACACTTTTATATGGTGGCCTATGTCCATATGTTTCTGTTTTGGTGGTCGTGCCACAACCGTGCATGTCTGCACAAGTCATAGGTGCGCTATACAATAGCACTACACCCCTGCAATGTGTGTGAAAGACAATAGACTTTACAGCATGTTGTTTTAAATTGAAGTTGCGTTGGTGTTTGTGTGTTGGTTGTTGACGGCAGTGTGTGCCCCCCCTTGGTAAATGATTTCCCCCCCATTCGATTTGTTCTAGAGCCGACCCTGGTGCTGTATCAGAAACAATGCGCGGCGTGTTTTGGGAGTAATATGGTCTGTTTTTACATTAGCAAGCATCGCTAACACTCAGAGCTAACGCTGCACTGGAGAGAATATGTGTAACGTAATGTCAGTAGACCCTGCGAGAGAGAAACGTTTGAGCTCCATACTGTTTCAGAAATAATGCTTGAAGTGGTTTGGAACATAATGGCATTTAATCACGGCAGCACTTAGCTGAGTTTCTCCCAGTAGAAAACTCTCTTAGCAGGGGAAAGCTGCAACGCTACAAAGGGGCGTGGCTAACAGCAGCTCTTCCGTTTAAAGCTACAGTCACAGAATCAGTCTTTTTGGAACAGGGCTGGAATAGAGGGGTATGAGGCATGGCTACAATGGGTGATCTGTTTGGTATTTTAAGCAAAAAACTTCACTGACATGTTTTGTATAGGTTCAAATATAGCATAATAGGTCCACTTTAATTTTTATTCACGAGTTAACACAGTAAATTACATTAACCATAATAGAGTGTTTAATTGCTCTGCTGATGGAAGAGTCACTAAACCTCTCAATGGATATTTCCTGGCATTATGTGATGTGGCGTACCCTCAGAGAAGGACCTGGTGATGGGGATGATCAGGCAGGCTCTGGACGGAGTCGACCTCTCGGCCCACCCACAAAGGAGCTTCCAGCAGCTCCAGGCTTTTCATCCTGGTGCATCTCCGGTGGTGTACGGTCCATCGTGTGATCAGTCGTGGAGAAAACCTCAGAGAACGAGGTCAGGAGGATCTCAAAGGTTCTGGTGGTTATTTCTTTCAAAGCTCAGCATGTTTAACATTGTTTATTCACCTCCACAGCTCATACAGAAGGAACCAAACCTTCAGCGTGGAGAAACCAGGTGACTACTTTCTTATTCTTTTTCATAGGTTGTTGAGATTTATTGTACTGGAACATTTTCTTCTCTCTCTCCTATCTGCTGTAGTCTTCTTAATGCATGTGTCTTGCCATATGCTTCAACATTTAAATAAAGCTGAACCACTAACTGAGTTTGCGTGTGTCCTTGCATTAAATGACAGTTCTTTCTCTACTCTGATGCAACATAGACTCAGTGGCAGTCATCTTACAGGCACTGCAGGAGGTCCTGGAAGTCATCAAAGTCCTCCTTTTTCAAATCTTCCTGTTTGAAAAGTGCAATTATCCTCCACTGAAATTATCTGTTGTGTCTTCCATGATTCGTACTTCTTAGAATATTTTATTTTTTAACAGAAGACTGTTAAGTATGCTATTTAAATGCAATATTAAAGGAAATGCGCTTGACAATATGATATAAAACTGTATTGCAACGTACAGTATTTTTTTGTATTCGATACCCTTTTTCTTTTATTTCTAAAGAGAACAGATGTGGTTAATGAAAATACTGGCTTTGTGTGACTCTTGACTTAAATATTATTTTCCAGAGAGGATTGGAGAAGCAGAGGTCCTTGAAGTCCACGCTGAAACTCAAAATAATCTTCAAGATCCTCCACTTGAGCACACAGGGAGTGTTTAGTTTCCTGATTTTCACCGTACTGATAACTTAATTCTGGTTTCCTTATAATGAGTATTGTTTGGTTTCTTTGTTTTTATGTTTATGGAAAAATATATAATAGGCTCTCATTTTTCATTTTTGCTTTGTTACTTGAAACCATGGACAATGTAATGAGTTCTCCAGATGTATTTTGTAATTTAATTATACAACATACTGTACAATAGGAAGGATAGTGTAACATAGTACTGTGGAGGATGTTTCATAATTGTATCATCATCTGGTAATACTGAGAATAATTTTCAAGATCATCCACTTCTGAACGCAGTATAGTTTTTGTTTTCTCAATCTTTTATTGTAGTGTTCTGTATTATGGTTTCATTATTATGAGAATTGAGTGGTTAGCTTGTTTAGTGTTATCTTGGTGAATTATGTTTTCCTTTGCGTATTTGTTTTTGTTTTGCTGATGTTTCTCAGAATGCGAGCTGCTTTATTGAGAAGTTTCAGACTTATTTTACAAATGAATAACGAATATACTGTACGATAGGGGAGATAGTATTACATAATGCTGTAGGTTTGATTTGTTTTAATTATATATCAGTTGTCAGGTGGATCAAGTGTAACCTGTTCAGTGTAGGGATATAAAACTTGAACGTTGATAGTAAGTATATTCCTGGCTTTAAGTGTGAAAAAAGGAACACAATACACACATCGTTTCACCTTGGTCAGAGAAAGTCCTCTAAGTTCCTAAAATGCAACATACTTAGTGTGAGAGAATATTTTAATCCGATCTCTTTGTGTCTTGAGTTTCTCAGCGTTTCTGAGAAACTGTTGATCACAAAGATGTACTTTTCGTTAAGTCGCATATACTCCAGCTTGGAATATGAGGAGGACAAAGGTCAAGAGGTCCTCTGACTTCCTGGGGGTGAGGGGTTTGGGCACATGAGGAGTTGCAATACAAAGGTGCCTTTGTTCCGATGTCTGGTAATGATTATGGTAGGAAAGGCGGGAATATAGGTCCCTCCTCTTTTCTCTGTATAGATCTGTGTTTCTGCCTTTGTCTTCAGAGTTCGCTAGGTGGTTTCACATGTAAACTGTGATATACTTTGTGATCTCTCCGGCCGTATACTCTCAATAAATAACAGTGTTTGACTAAAGACGATCCAGCTTCCATCATTTCCTCTATATTGCTGCAGAAGTTTTCTTCACAAATTTGCGTCACAACAGGATACCAAAATATCTTCAGAACTGGTAAGTGTAATTTCAAATCTATATTTGGACATTGCCTTACCAGAATCTGTGATTGACGGTATCATAAAATTACCTGTGAAACTGAGCGGCTGCATTTTTTTTTTGGTTTCTCTAATCTTTACATTTGGGGGTTTTAATAATAACCTGGGGAATCGGTGTCCAATGGGGATTCTGTCCTGGCCGATTTTCCCTGTGATTGCTGCTGGGGCATGTGCCCTCAGAGCAAGCACAGCTCATGTAAAAAACAATAAGAATATTTGGGGGTAATAATAACCTAGGAATACCGATTTTGACTGATGTCCTCTGTGTGTGTTTCTTGGAATTAAATTACCAGACAAATCACACACAGCAAATATTCGGAGAGACCTTAAAGAGAGCATCAGTAAAGTGTACTTCTGCATTAGGACCAATGTGATAGATTTGTATTGAAACGAATCGCCGAATTCTGGAGATTTCAGCGGTCAGCTGGTTAAATCAACTCGCCTCGAATCTGCCTGTTGCTGCTGCACGGGTGTGTGTGTGATTACAACCCCCACTGCGGGGAGCCGCAGGCAAAGAGAAAAAAAAAAAGCACAGAGTGTCATATATATTTTCCTCACACCATTGCCGATTTGGAACTAAACAAAACGGTCTAAAAGCATTTATTTTTGTCTACGACCGTCTTCTACTATTTTGCTGGCAAGACTGGGGCAGACAACTAAGTGCGTGCGTCGCCTGGCACGCCGCAGTTTCCTACTTGCTGTAGAAACTGGGCGCTTTCCCAGGATGCACACATCAGAATAGGTTAATTGGTCATTAATGGGAAGGGTGGTACGCGAGTATGTGACATAGCGCTGTGTTTTAACAGATGGGTTGTTGAATTTGGCTATTGTTGGAAGAAAGGGTACTGGATAAATTAAAAGTCTCTGCTCTCCGGACGGGACGGGCAAAGCACCACTAAATTAGCATAGTGGGTTGTTGATTGAGAATAAATTAGTTATTGCTCTTCAACAGATTCCGTTCTTAGCACTTGTACAAGTATATATGAGTAAGAAGGCACTCATATTAAACAGATATTTCCCTACCCCCACTGGAATCTCCCTAATTCGGATTAAATTAAGTTGGATGAGCATCGCAGTCACGCTGATGTTTGTTGCGAGTTCATGTTTGTTTGTCTAATTGTTTCTATATTGGTTTGTCTACCCGCCGTCTTGTGTATGTTTTGTAACAACTAACAACAAATCAGTCCATAGCCAGGGTAAAATGAACTAAACTTTAGTTATCTCACCAAAAGTAAATGACTTGAGAAAAATAAATAAATGATGTAAAGCAAAATTATACATTGTAATATAAATGTGCTGCAAAAGGAAAATAAATAGCAAAAGAGTGTTCTTATGTCCTGCATCTGTCTTACAACCGAGACCCTCAGAGGCATCACTGCTCATAAATACCGGCCTGAGGAAATCAGGGTTGCAAAAAAAAAATCTGTCTGCTCAAATATGTCAATGTTGTATTATTTGTTTCATTTATTCTTAAATCTATGTATTGTATGGTAATAATGAATTTAAAAAAAAACGTAATGTATTGAACACATTCCGAAACAAAGCAGATAAGACAGAACTAGACTCAGACATAATTGTGATTGAAACCTTTTGCTGAAAAATGAAAACTTTGTTGATTGTCTGTTCCAACTGGCCACTGGAATAGGATAATTGATATAAGTTGAAGTTCAATTACAGTTTTAAATATAGTTTAACATTCTTTATTAAACTGTTTCAAATTATTTCTAGTACAATTGGTCTACAGACATTACTACAATTCTAATAGTTGTTAAACTACTGAGCTTATGAACAATAGAGTAAAGGTCGCTGGTTAAGCCAGGATCAATATATTTGTTGAGGTTTTTATTGTGTACATAATAAATGTGTTTAAATGAATTGAGCAATTTTTAAAAGGAGTAAAATGTTGCAATCTCTTTAAGATAAGTAATTGCAGTTCCAAGATAGATGTTGTTTTCCCTGGGCCTCTCCTTCACAAGCCCACACAATAAATCATGAGACTTCCAAATCTGAACAGACAGAGATCAGTATTACAAATCCATGAAGGGATTCTAGTGGGCCCAATTTAAATACCATAAAGAGAGTATTCACCCAGCTGTTTTGATTTCTTAAAAACATTTTTAGTCCAGTTTCCTTCGAGTTCAGTCTAAGCTACGAATTGTTTCTCATAAACATTCGCACCGCTGGTTTTAAACCTTGAGCAGACAAGCTACACGTGCGTGCACACACACACACACACACACACACACACACACACACACACACACACACACACACACACACACACACACACACACACACACACACACACACACACACACACACACACACACACACACACACACACACACACACACACACACACACACACACACACACACACACACACACACACACTTTGGATGAGTATTTGCCTTATCCACTTTTGCCTTCTTTAGAGTTATTAGTAATTCAAGATTAATTATTGAATTAAATGTGCTACATAAGATAGAATACTGAAGCTTTGACTTGATAATTTCGGTCACAACATTAGACCTTGTCCTCTCATCTCTACTAAAATAAGATACGTGTGCATGTTTGGGTGTTTTAACACTCCTGTAATGTACCTAGTCTTGTCAGGGTATGTCAGGGTATCAGGTATGAAAGAAAAAAGGTGATAAGGATCCGAGCCCCCCGACCCCACGGAATATCGGTTTTAAAATGAGGAATAACAGATGATTTTAGCAGTCAGAACAACTAAAAGCAGCAGTGGTAATAACAACAGAAACGCTACATCTGGTAGAAATATACGGAAGCATTTATTTTGGTTGTGTAGCAGTCAGTTTATAATTTTGGCAGCACTGTTGAGCATTTTGAAAATGTATTTTCATGCCTCTGCAAGGCTTAGTCTTTCTATCTGTATAGCCACTGGTGTTAAGTAACTAAGTTCATAAACTCAACAAGTACTATACTTGGGCACAATTTTGAGATACTTGTACTTTATTTAAGTATTTAAATGCTTTGCTACTTTGTTCTTCTACTCCACTACAGTTCAGAGGTACATGGTGTACTTCTACTCCACTACATGTATTTAATACCTTTTAGTTACTTTACAGATCTGGATGAATGATGTGAAATATAATCAAGTGTTAAATCAGACTTTAGTTCCACCTGGAGTAAATCCGCAAGCTACCCTGCAGTATACAAAGTCATTCGAACTAGCTGCACCTTTACCAGCTTTGAGAACACTCATGATCAAACACATCATATATATTATTCTGAAATGGACCAATCTGCACAACGACTACCTTTACTGTCGCTATTTCCACTATATTTTGATGAGAATACTTTTATACTTTTACTTGAGTAACATTTTGAATGCAGTACTTTTACTGTAACATAGTATTCCGACACTCTGGTACTTCTACTTTTGCTCAAGAACAAGATCTGAGTACTAAAGCTAACGTTAGCCAGAAACATTTTTCAGTTCACTTCACGCTCTGCCGCTCCGACAGGGAGCTCTGCTCTGAACACCTGAACGCCCCGTTCTAACAATTGTTCACCAGCGGTCCAGTCTGTGCCACAGTCACTCCGGACCACACAGTTAATATTAACGAACGCATCCGTAGGTAATATAGCTGCTGAAGCTAGACAATCTTAGCGGAAAAGCAGAGCCTTATTATACATCCAAAAGCAGAGCCGACGGGCAGGAAGACTCGAGCATTCATTATAATATAAAAAAAGTACACCATGCGTGTCATGATGGCACATAACAGCTCGCGGCTGCAGATTACTCCGGTTCCCAGACCCCCCCCATACCCCAATAATATTTGTATTGCAGATCTACATGAATGACACAAATGACCTATTTTGGATTCAAAACGGCGAATTTCGCCAAAAGGTGACAAGTTTGCATCCCTGCTTGTTATCCTTTTCATCACAGAGCTGGGAAAAGGGTGTATTGATTACTGATCCGTGCATGTCCAATTTTAACTGACTTTAGTTCTAATGTTAATGTTAATTTGATTTCAACCCATAAGTAATTATTTAAATTAACTCTACATTTCACATGATGGATTAGTGTTCCACATTTTTCCCACTAATTTGTTTTATGATTAGGCCAATGGTAAAGAGAGACATTGATGACCCTGTGTCTTTTTTGTTAGTACGTGGTTCCATTTTGTCTATGGCCTTGGACGGCTTCACTAAGAGTCACCCAGTTCTGCTCTGCTGCAGTCCGGCTGAGTGCAGTCACAGAGATGCTATGGCTGCTCTACATGACATTAATGGTCTGGTCCGAGAATGGGCACCATTTCCTGCTCCCAGAGAGAATGACGATCCTCAAACTGGACTTTACAGCCGTTGATACTGTCTCACAAGGGTTTTCTCCCCCCCCACCGAGCCATGAACTGAAAGCTTGACATCTGCTTTGAACACTTGGAACTGTCACACCAGCACCAACCCTTGGGTCAGTTAGATGAGACTAACGGCTTCACTTGGGGCATATGGGTCAGAAGTATGACTCTCGTTACCACAGAGTGGGTTGTTTGTTTTTTAAGGCTATTCATACTGCTATGCAGAGTGAAAAGCCCCTACTATTTTTAGTATAGGCCTAATGTCAGGGGCCTCTTACTGTCTACTTCTGCATGTATTCACATTATATGGACCATGTTTCCACCTGGTGAAACTAGAGGCTGCACGGAAATCAGGCTACAATACAACCATCTTGTTCTGCTCTAACGATTCAATTTATAGATTCTACATCAAAATAGTTCGTTTTTATTGTTTCCAATGATAACGTCACCTTAAGTGGAGGAATGCAAACCTGTTTTCAAATGTAAGGTTTTGAATTTGTTTGACATTTCTCAGTAATGACACCCTCAGACGCC